CCAGCAGATGGAAGATCTCTCTCTCTCTCCCTGACTCTGCCTTTCAAATAAATCAGTCAGTCTTAAGAAAAGAAGCTGATGCCACGTGCAGCAGGCCTGGGTTTTCTCTCTCCTACCCTCCAGTGGGGGAGGGTTCTTATTGGCAGAGTTTTGAGATAGTGCCAGTCCAGAGGTAGCCTACTGGGGCACACACCAGGGCAGAGTAGGGTGGATGGGAACAGCCAGCTTAGTGTCACCTAACCACAGACAACACTGGACAGTACTGCCATGCCGTCACATTGCTCACTGGCCAAATGGCCAATGTTTTGTGGCAATAGCAAGTGATGGCTGGTGGGAGAGGTCATTTCTTGTGTTGGCTTGGCTCAGCTCTGGGGCCGAACTGTTTTGGTGGGGCTGTTTTGCAGATAGGACTTGGAGGCAATAGGATTATCCTTGCCATGTGGGTGAGCCATTTCCAATCAGTCGAAGGTTGTCAGAGCAAAATGGCTGCTTCCTGAAGAAATAATTTTGTCTCAAGAACAACACAGGGGGCCTGGTGCGGTAGCCTAGTGGCTTAAAGTCTTTGCCTTGCATGTGCTGGGATCCCATATGGGTGCCGGTTTGTGTCCTGGCCGCTCTATTTTTCTTCCAGCTCCCTGCTTGTGGCCTAGGAAAGCAGTCGAGGACAGCCCAAAGCCTTGGGACCCTGTACCCATGTGGGAGACCCGGAAAAGCTCCTAGCTTCAGATTGGCTTGGTTCTAGCTGTTGCGGCCACTTGGGGTGTGAACCATCGGACGGAAGATCTTCAGTCTCTCCTCTCTGTAAATTTGCCTTTCCAATAAAAAAAAAATCTTAGAAAAAAAGAATAACACAGGAATTCAGTGTGTGATCACGGGTTGAGTCTCTGCCTGCAAAAGTTATATCTCATATCAGAGTGTCGGTTTAAGTCCTAGCTGCTCTGCTTCCCATCCAGCTTCCTGCTAATGCGCTTGGGAAGATGGCCTTGAGTGCTTGGGCCTCCATTACCCACGCAGGAAACCTAGATGGAGTTTGAGCCTTCTGGCTTTGATCTGGCCAAGCCCTGGCTGTTGAAGAAATTTGGGGAGTGGACCAGCAAATGGAAGATCTCTCTGTCACTCTGCCTTTCAATGAAGCCCGTACATCTTAAAGGTAAACAGGTAAAAACTAAGTCTTGTCTGAGCATCGTGCCTGCTGCCCTGCTTTGCAGATTTCAGATTACAGCGACAGCTGTTCCCTGCAGGGCCACTCATACCATGAACCTGGCAGGATTTGGGGGGGCACATCAGACTCCATGATTGAGGGAGCTTATCCCTTAAAACAAATCCCTCTGTACATACAACATTATTTCAAAAAGTTTGTGGGGGAAAAAAAAAGAGAATGAGCATTTTCTGTGAGCTTGTGTAAGTTCCCCTGGTCGGTGTCCTGTCACCTGTTTCCCTGGAGAACCCTGGCATGTGGGTAGCAGAGATTTCCAGTGTGAGCATGCATACCAGGACAGCTCCTCCTGAGGGCAGCCAGTCAGTGTCAGCCACACGTGCATGCCCACGTCCAGGGATTCCTGGACCATTAGTTTCCTTTTAAGATTTCTTTTTTATTTATTTGAAAGGCAGGGAGAGAAAAGAGATCTTCCTTCTAGGGCCTGATATGCTAGCTTAGTGGCTGAAGTTCTTGTCTTGGATGTGCTAGGATTCTAAATGGGCGCTGGTTTGTATCCCAGCTGCTCCACTTCCCATTCAGCTCCCTGCTTGTGGCCTGGGAATGCAGCCAAGAATGGCCCAAAGCCTTGAGACCCTGCACCCATATGGGAGACCTGGAAGAGACTCCTGGTTCCTGGCTTCATCTCAGCTCATTTCTGGCCACTTTGGCCACCTAAGCAGTGAACCAGCAGATGGAAGATCTTTCTCTCTGTCCTTCCTTCTGTGACTCTGACTTTCCAGTAAAAATAAATAAATCATTTTTTTTAAAAAATTCTTCTATTAATTGCTTCACTGTCACAATGGCCAGCGCTAGGCCAGGTTATAGCCAAGAGCCTGGAACTTCTGGGCCTCCCACGTCAGTACAGGGGCTCAAGGACTTGGGAATGCTTCTCCAGATATATTGGCAGAGAGCTGGATTGGAAGTGGAGCAGCCAGGCCTTGAACCAGCATCCACATGGTTGCCAGCATCACAAGCAGTGGCTTTACTGCCTATTCCACCATGTTGGCCCAAACTTTGACTTTTTTTTCCCAAAGATTTATGCATTTATTTGAAAGGCAGAGTGACAAAGAGAAACAGAAAAAAAATAATCTTCCATCTGCTATTTCACTCTCCAAATGGCCACAGCAGCCAGCACAAGGCCAGGGTGAAGCTAGGAGCTTGGAATGCCATTTGGGTTTCCTTTGCAGATATTAGGGGTCTCAAGCACCTGGACCGCCATCTGCCGCTTCTCCAGTCCCATCCACTGGGAGCTGGGTCAGAGGCAGGGCAGTCAGGACTGGAAGCAGTGCTCTGACATGGGTTGCCAGCATTTGCAAGCACCAGCTTAAATTGCAGTACCTCAGCACAGGCCCCTCTTTGCCTTCATAACTTCTGCCTCCAGTCTGGCCCATAAGAGCAAGTCCCAGCAGGTGATGTAGCTGTTGCAACCTGTGGCTGAGGATGAGGTCAATACTGATTGGGAGACCTGAGCAATAACCCAGTGAGGTTCCCTCTTACAGGAGGGAGAGGGGGCATGCAAAGGGGCCAGTCCAGGCCACCTGGGGGTAGGACCAGCCTGTACCCACATCCTTCATGCTGGGGTTATAGAGTGATCCTACAGTTTCTTTATCTAGGGTGTCTTCAGGTTAACAAGACAAGATGCATCCCCACGAAGAGTCCATGGCAGGGTGCAGCCCAAGGCGCCTGCTAAAGGGGTACCTGATATTCCTCCCCTGCTCTCTGCTCTGAACAGGTGCAGGGGAGGTCTGGGCTGCTGGTCTCTATCCAGGGCACCTTGTTCACCTTGGCCAAGGGGACCAAACAGGAGTCCTATTCCTGCCCATTCTGGTTCCAGGGGAGCTCTGGAACTTCTCTCTTCCCTGGTGTTTGGGATCCAGTCAGCAACACCCACCCCCTCAAACCTGTGTCCCCCCTCCTATAGGTGAGCTGTTCTCTGAGGTTCTCACTAGCCAATCCACTAAGACTGTTTGGGTCAGGCGCCACAGAGTAAAGTGGTCAGGGTTGGGTTGGAGCCTGGCTTGGCTCTGGCTGCAAATCTGATCTTGGCCAAGTGCCACAGTTTTATAGGAAAGCCACACCTATAAAAGGTGGCGGATTGCCTAGAGTAACCCATGACTGGTTTCTCTAAAGGCACTTTGGAAACCCCCAAATACTCAGAGAAGTGCAAACCTCTCCCAGGTGCTTCTATCAGTCCCCAAAGGCCGCAGGTACGTGCCCCAAACAGCCAACTACTTATATGCAGGGGTGGGGGAAGCCTTTCACTGCCAAATGACATTATATTTATCACATCAGTGGTAGGCCATACAAAACGATCAGCCTAAACATCAGTCTGCTGTAGATGTATTGAATTCGGAGTCCCATCTTCAGTTGCCTTGGCGGGGCCAGGCCAAATGACTTCATAGGCCTTAGGCAGGCTGCAGGCCTGGGCTGGATGTGCTCTACTGCTGGCAACTCTTACGCATGTGGGCCTGGGACTCTGGGTAGAGAGAAGTCATTGTCAAGTTACCACTGCAAGCCCTGTGGCCCAGGGGGTCTGAGAGGGAGGTTTGTGGTCAGGGGCTCTGGCTTGGCTCCCAGGAGAGGCCTCTCCTATGTTGGATGTCAGGTCAGCCTTAGGGATCCTAGGTCCCTGAGAACTGAGGGTCACTGCCCAGTGACTGCCCAGGTGGGGGGGGGCTGCTTGGCTAGAAAACTGAGAAAAACACTTCCAGCCTCATAAACAGTAATTAAACAAAACGAAACTGTGCTTTTTGGTTCACTGGAAGTCATTAGGGAAGTGATAAGGATTTGGAGAGCCTGCCTCCCACACATACAGTGAGAGGTGCCCACACTTGGCAGGCAGTCAGTGGGCTCAGTGGTGAGGCCCGGGCTGGGCAGGAGTGGTGTGGGGGTGGCATCCCTCCCCACCCGCTGCCTCCTCCCCCAGCAGGACTGAAGCTGCACCCTGAAGGCAGGTGTAGAAGATACACTCACAGCAAAGGGCATCTTCCCTGGTCCAACTTCAACCTGACTGTGGCCATCTAACCTGCTCTGCATGGGTTCAAACAGTGGCCTATTCTGGGGATGCTGGGGAGTGGAGTTAGCGGGGACTGTTTTGCAAACCTCTGCCTTCTCCCCATTGGCCTCCTTTCTACACAGCAGGCCTTCCCCCACCACTGTGAGACCCACAGAACTTTCTCAACATCCCCCCAACTCCTTCACCGTCCCCTCCCCACTCTGTTCCCATTCTACAGCCTTCACCCATATCCCCTCCCTCTCAGGAAGTCTTCCCCCAAAAGTGCAGTGTTTACATTCCCCTTCTGGAAGCTTCCAGCCCCTTGAAGTGCTGGCAGCCGCAGCCTCGGTCCATTGGAAGGCGCTGTGGCAGGTGTCTGGCTTGCTTGTCTCACTCCCAACGGGAGGCCTGCTCTTGTCACCAACAGGTTCTGTATGCTGGACCCTGCATACCAGTCTCATACTTCCACCCACCAGGGAGCAGAGACGGAGTGGGGTGTCAGGGGCAGAGACAGAGGCAGTGGGGTGTGAGGGGCAGAGACAGAGGGAGTGGGTGTCTCTAGGAGTTGGTCCATGTCTGCAAGCAGGCATGTAGCAGAGCCTGGGCCTCTGCCCAACAAGTCTGGTCTGCTGAGCTGGTCCGCAGAATCTTCCTCAAGCAACCCTGCTCCCTGGAGCCCAACCTCTTAATGATCTAAGTACTTAAGAAGCTGCAGTTCCAACCTTAGTCACTCTTGGGGACGCTCCTGACACCAGGTGGCAGCATTGGCCCAAAGTTCTGTCTCAAGCGTCAGCTCTGAGGCTGTCAGCCAAGTACAAACTTAAAACTTTTACTTCTGGTACAAACGATAAATACTTTGCATTAAAAATCTGGAAATCAAGTGTTCCACATACTTCACTCTCCCTCCCTGCCCCAGAGCCTTAAAAAATATCTCGGCGTGGAGGGGACAGAGCTGGCATGGACTCTTAGTGGCCAAGTCCAGGTCTGGGAAAGGCACGCGGTTAGTCTGAGTCTGTGGTGGGGCAGGGGCTCTGCCCACCACCACACAGGAGGCCCTGGGGTGGGGCCGAAATGAGAAGACTCTGCAGTTTGCCCCCTTTGTTGGGGAGGGGAGGGTGTGCGGCAGCCCACCCCTCCCAGCTGTGTGCAGGGGTGGGCGGAGCAGGAAGAGGCTCCCTTAGGACAGGAACCCTGAAAGTGTTCCAGAGAAGATACTTAGACTGTCACATTTCGGTTGCTTCAAAGGAACCACTTCAGGGGAGATGGAGAAGGGATGGGGAAGGGATGGGGTGCAAGCTTGGAGGACCCCACCTGTCCCTCTCTGTCCCCAGCAAGACACAGGCTGGGAGCAGGGTGAGGAGTGGGGCAGGAGGCTGCTTTCTGATGTGGCCCTCTGAGCTGCCACACCAACCCCTTCACAGTCACAGAAGATAGGGCCAGGGGTGCCAGGGTTAGGCCAGTGGGGGAACGGAAGAGCAACCCAGCCTCAGGGGCTGGGGCAGCACCCACGGTGGCCCCTTCCCTAGGCCTACTCTGTCTGGCCAGTCCGGCTAGGGGTCTTCGTCCCAGAGACACAGCTGCCTCTGAGGCACGTAGAAGTGGAAGCTGTAGTTCTTGCGGCAGCTGCGGATGCCGCACTTGTAGGGCGCTGGCCGGTCACGGCTGTGGCAGTACTTGAGCATGCAGGGGTACCAAGCCAGGCTCAGGCTGTAGCGGCACATGCAGGCCTTCCCACGGTCGCCCAGCTGCCCGCAGCGAGGCAGCGACATCTGCTCGGAGGTCTTGGGCAGAGCCTCGAACACAGAGCTGTCCACACCTGGAGGAGAGAGGCCAAAGATGGGAGACGGATGTTGACACACCCCTGCCTGGCTGGGTATTCTGTTGCCCAGTGGGCATTTGCAGACACTGCCTGCCTAAGGCTGCTGCACCAGGCTTTCTGCAGGGCTGGTATGTGAGTGTAGAATGCCACATAGTAATGACACCACCCTCATCTATTGGGTCCCCACTCCAAGCCAGAAACTCTATGCTTCATTCCAACACCCCATGGGCTGGGTTTTGTTGTGGCTGTTTTCTAGACAAGAAAACTGGCTCAGAGATGTTTAACCACCTGGCTGAGGCCACACAGCAAGAGTGGAGGCAGGACAGGAACCCAGTAGCCATCTGTTACTCCACCTGTTACTCCTTCGTGCTGCGCAGAAGGATAGGCTTGGAGAGGTTGGGCAACACTTTAAAGAGACTTGTTAAACAAGGGACAATCTGATGGGTCCAGGCCGGACAGTGTTTGCACAAAGGAGTCTGCAGAGAAAGCATGCATAGGAAGGGCGCTGGGGGAACGGCAGGGTCTGGCTCCTAGGCCATGGGAGGAACCAGTTTCCCGGGGATGCCAGAATCAGGCTTGACCCCTGGCATGGAGTACAGCTGCTGAGAAGAGAGGACAAGGCCACGGCTCTAGGGGGCAGCTGTCTAGTGCTCAGCCGGCTGGACTTGGAATAATCTCCCTGTCCCATTGACACAGATGACTTCAGGGCAGTCCTGGGAAAGGTATGTGGAGAGAGGCCAACACTGTGGGCATGCAGGTACCAGGGTGGCGCAAGGCAGGTTTCTGACAGGTGGCAGCCCAGGTGGGCAGGGAGGATGGGTCAGTGTCTCCCTCCCATGCCTAGGGGTAGGGATGAGGGGGAATGTCTCGGGATCTCTCCACGGCGGAGTGCTGCCCGGAACAGGTCCCTCTCTTCTACTGATACTCCTCACTGCACAGTTACATACATACTGCCTCTTCCAGGAAGCCTTCTTGGCTAGCTAGCCATTATCACAGTGACTTCCCTATGGGTTTCCTCGCAAGGAGGTTCTTGGATGGGAACAGGGGTGTCTACACCTCTGATACCTGTGTTGTTCTGTCTCTGCATGTGCAGATGAAACAGCCACTCAGCTCTGGACCATGCCCCCTGCCCAGCTCTGGGCTATCCTGTCCTCCAAGGCTCCTCCTACCCCCACCAGGAGCCAACCTTGCTCCAGCCAGAACCGTGCATCCTCCTGGCGGGTGTAGATGGCATCAGCAGCCTCGGCACACACGTTGTGCAGGTGGGGGCTCAGCAGGCTCCCCTGGCTGAAGTTGACGGCCACGTCCATGTGCAGCTGCTCCAAGCCCCGGACTTCCTCTGCCTGCCGCACGGCCCGTGGGTTTTTCTGTATGTGCAAGAGTGGGGTTTGGTGTAGGTTATGAGGTTATGGGGTTATGGGGTCAGGTTCAGGACTCTGGGGTGAATGATGTACCAGAGGAAAGCCCTGGGTGACCTGGGGTAGGGATGCTGGGTAAGGAGTTGGGCAGGGCAGACCTGGGGTGGGTACTCACTTGCCGGAGCTTGGCCATGGCATCGCTCGGGATGATCTCATTGTGCTGCAGCCGAGTGACAAAGCACAGTGCCTGGAACTGACTCTGCCCCTTCTCCAGCTCCCCCAGGATCAGGGCCCGGAAGATCTTCACGTCCTAAGGTGGGAGGGCAGGAGAATGGGAAACCAGCCTGGTGGTGATGGTGGGGCTCTCCCTGTTAGCCCAGCCCTGGGGCCAGCTCAGCCCTAGACTCCACCCCACAGCACATACCTCCCTTCTGCTAGCCTAGCAATCTACTTTTTGCTTTGCTTTTAAGATGTACTTATTTATTTGAAAGTCAGAGTTAGAGAGAGAATGCTTCCATCTTCTGGTTCACTCCCCAGATGACCACAACAGCCGAGTTGAGCCAGTCTGAAGCCAAGAGCCAGGACCTTTTTCTGGGGCACCCACATGGGTGCAGTGGCCCAAATACTTGGGCCATTCTCTGCTGCCTTTCCCAGGTGCTCTAGCAGGAAGTTGGATCAGAAGCAGAGCAACTGGAATTTGAAGTAGCACCTGTATGGGATGCTATCATTACATACCATAACACTAGTTCCAGGTCTACAGATTTTAAAATAATTTAAGAAAATGAGAGAGAGAAAGAGAAAGACCAACTTATGAGAGAGTTCCCACACAATGGCTCATTGCTGAAGGCCCACAGTGGCTGGGACCTGGGGAGCAGACATGGAGAAGCTGGGAACTCAACCAGATCTCTCCCAGGGTCAGCATGAGCGGGAAGTGGAGCCAGGAATCAAACCCAGGAGCACTCAGGTGGGATGAAGTCCAAATGCCCCCATTTAAACTCACAGCTTACAAGAGCACGCTCCAGTGTTCCCAAGTCTCTGGGAAACTGGGAATAAACTACTGGGCAAACTACAGAGAATCCTTCCCAAGCACCAGCCTCCCCTGGCGGCCCACAGCGCCCCCTTCTGGCATCTGGCTTACTCACAGCTGATGCTTTCCCTAGTGCGGCCCTCAATCCCCAGCCACCTGACCAGAGCATCCTGGGCAACGGGCTGCAGCTTTCCAGAGCGTTTCTGACCTATGATTCAGGTCTAACGAGGGGTCTCAGAATGCACTCAGCACAGCTCCTTGTCATGGCCTTGGGCTGGGATAGTTCGGAGCACAAGGCAGAAGCTGCAGTTTGGCTGCAGCTGCTGTCGACTTCCAGGCTCAGGGAGCAGGGCCAGTTCAGCTCTCCCTATGTCCTCTTCCCCCAGGGAGTTACTAAAGTACTGCCAGCTCTTTCCTGTACCTGCCTCACTGGATGAATGGGACAGTCACGGTGGGTGGAGGGAGACAGACCACAGGATAGCATGGGATCTCCTCAACCTGGCTTCCGGGACCCCATTCTCATTGGGGTTCTGTGCTTTGGGTGTCTGTCCCACAAGAAGCTTGCAGGTCCTGGCGAGACAAGGCCTCAGTTTGTCAGGATCGCCACCCCTGACCCATCTCCACGGTACTCAGCATATACAGTCGGGTGGGGGGAACTAATGAACTGTAACAATAGCACATGGGTCCAGCCCTCTCTCACCTTAGGACCTGACGTTCCTGTGGATTGAGAGTCAATTCTGCACCTGCTAGGGTATAAGTGTTACTTGGCTTCTGGGTACAAACCGCAAGGGGACTGGATTTCACCCCAAAGCTGCCACGTTGTCCTGCTTCCGGGGTCACAATGCTGGAATCTTCTTGTTCTGCCAGCCCGGGCCACCTGATCTTGCCTTCACTCAAGTCAGCTCTAGGGAGGTGGGGAGGCTGGCCCACTTGGGGCACATTCCACTCTGAGCTCAACTCCTGCCAGAGGAGACTTGACACCGCACTTCCCCTCCCAGGGCTCCAGCCACAAAGATGCCCCCGGGCAGGATTCAGAATCCACTGCCCTGGAACAAAGCTCTGGCCTCTGCGGCTGATACACACAACCTCTTCTCTGATACCGTGGGCATGTGCAGTCAACACCCCCATGGTGTGAGAAGCTGCCTTCTGCCCACATGCCCGGCAGAAAGTGCTTGGATTTTAAACCAGCCCAGAGAGTGAGAGAAATCTGTGTGAGCTTCTTTCCGGCCTGCAGATGAAGTAACAGTATCATTGACAATAACCAAATGTTACTTCCAAAATGCAACCTGGCTAGGGCACAAGAGAGGGAGTGAGAGCCTCTCACAGTCACAGAGGATTTCTTCTGCAGCTCCTACTGGTGTAGCACACAGATTTGCTGCAGTTTCTAGCTTGAAGGGATACACTGTTGTCATCATGGGTCAACAAGGATGCACCATGCTATTTAAAGGCACTGCAACAACAGGAGGTGGGAACTATGATTATTACCCAGTTTGAACTGGGAAGCTTGCTCAAGGTCATGGGACTAAGAGGAAACATAACTGGAATTTTAACCCTGCCGAAGTGCTCATATCCAGAAAACACAACTGCCTCATGGATCTACAAGTTCAATGTTTTTGGTGTCCAACTAGAGACACTGCAACATAGTGTGGCCTGCCCTCGGTTACACAGCTAGCAACAGATGGAGGTAAGATTAGAACTCTGGTCCCTCTTCTCATCATGCCTGTCCAGGAGCAGCTGGTAAACCTTCCATACACCTGCTTGGCCATGTAGCAGCTCCTGCTGATGGCCAGGGTAACAGGAGGAATAAAATAAGAGGAGATGACAGGGCAGACCCCACCTGCCCAGACCTTCTTTTTCACTTTTTAAAAAGATTTATTTATTTTATTGGAAAGACAGAATTACAGATTTACAGAGAGGAGAGAGAAAGAAGGATCTTTCATCTGCTGCTTCACTCCCCAAGTGGCTGCAACGGCCAGAGTTGAGTTGATCCAAAGCCAGGAGCCGGGAAGTTCTTCTGAGTCTCCCACATGAGTGTGGGTTCCCAAGGCTTTGGGTCATCCTCTGCTGCTTTCCTAGGCCACAGGCAGGGAGCTGGAAGGGAAGTGGAACAGCCAGGACATGAACTGGTATTCACATGGAATCCTACTGCTTTGAGGGGGAGCATTAGCCACTTAAGCCATCACACTGCTGCTTTGAACTTCTTACACCCTCAAATCTCCAATCTTCTCAGCCCTGTTTCTAGAAAACAACCCTTCCTGTTCTAGACCCCTAGGAAGGCATGGACAGCCCTGATTACTGTATCCATCTACTTGGTCACAGAACTCTGTCATTCTGACAGGTGGCCCTTCTGCCTTCTACTTCCTGCACCTGCAACCTCACTAGCAAGGTTCTAGGGCTTCCCTCTTCCTCTGCACAGAGGGAGAGGTGGGGTAAAGAAGCCCCCAGCTTCGGGAAACATCTGGTCAGACAGATGTCTGGTTTCTGACCTTCTCGCTCCCCATCACCCCCTCCTGGGAGTTCCCCAGAATGATTCACCCGGATGTGGCCCAAAGCCCAAGGCCAATGGCATAACTGGGTAAGAGCCCATAACAGGGGCTGGAGGCAGGCTCCTTGGGATTAGGATTCCCAAGATGTTTTCAGAAGGCTTCTCCTTCACCTGTGGTTTCCCAGACCACTCCAGTCCAACAGAAGCAGCAGGCACCAGGAAGAGGTGGACGCTCACTGCAGCCAGGACCAGCACATGGGCTGAGCAGGAGTGCAGAGCAGGCATGCCACGGAGAGAAGGCTGGCTGAAGTCCTTTCTGTAGTTATAAGTGAGGGGTAGGCAGTCCTGGGACTGCACAGTGGTTAAGAACAAATTCTGGAGCCAGAGCCAGCTGTGTTCAGGCCCTGGGTTTGGCGCTACCAGCCACATAACCATAACCATGGGGGCACTGACAGACCAATGTAGAGGGATTTCAAGGAATAAATGAGTGGGTCTCTGAGTGATGGGTCAGTCGCTAAATCCTCACTTTTCATGCACTAGGTTCCCATATGGCACCAGCTCGTATCCTGGCTGCTCCACTTCCCATTCAGCTCCTTGCTTGTGGCCTGGGAAAGCAGTGGATGACAGTTTAAAGCCTTGGGACCCTGTACTCATGTGGAAGACCTCGAAGAAGCTCCTGGCTTCAGATTGGCTAAGCTCAGCTTTGGCCATTGTGGCCACTTGGGGAGTGAACCAGGAGACAGAAGATCTTTCTGTACCTCCTTTTCTTTGTAAATCTACCTTTCCAACAAAAATAAATAAATCTCAAAAAGAAAAAAAAAAGGGGGGGGGGAAGGAATGATAAGTGACAGATCCCAAATACAGCAGGATGAACTCCCCCGGGTTCTCTCTCATCGCTGCAATCCTTGGTTCTGTGTCTGCCTCACTCCACTGGAATCTGCTCCAATGGGAAGAAGTAAAGGTTTTTCTCCTATGGATGCACCTGTGCTCTAAACAGGTCAGGTGACTCCTCTGGGGCTTGTGGGTGATCAGCACATTGATGGGACAGCAGTGCCCTACACGACCTCTGGCAGGCACCAGGCCAGGTGGAGGTGTGGTCCTTGTTTAGGGCAATTCAGAAAGGAGGCTGACATCTGGCCACCCTAGTCAGTGCCCCTTGGTGAAGCCTAGGGTTGAGGTACCCCTACAGCTGCTCTTTCAGCCTCTTGGAGTTTAGGAGAACATCTCTCTCTAGGGTATGGTTGCAGTGTGAGGTTCCAGCAGGGGAGGTGAGCTTCACCAGCCACAGTAGCTGAGCCAGATTGCTGAGTGCTAGGGAGGCCAATGATGGATGCCGGGGCAATGGGTTTTCCCTTAGAGGAAGGGTCTGGGAGGGAGGATTCTCAGAGTCAGGTGCATCCAGAGGCTCTCGGCAGTATCGCCCCTTTGCAGCAGAGACACTGATGGGAGAGAGGGGGCACTGAGGGTCTCCCAAAGCCCCCACTCAACCACTTCCTCAAGGTGCCCTCTGTCCTCACCCCAGAGAACAACTCCCAAGGCTGACAGCCCCTGTCCACAGCACCTCTTGCATGCCCCCATGTACCAAACTGGAAAGCTTGCAGTTTCCAGAACGGGTGGTACCATGTCACCCTTGTGCCCTCTTGGGAATGAACTCTTTGCCAGGACAGCTGCAGCCCATGCTTCAGGACTGTCCACAGGGCCACCTCTCTGGGCACCACGTCACCTTCAATGCCCCTGTGGTAGTAGCCCCTACAATGCTAACCCCATGGTGACTCTGATCTTGTTACCTGTCTCCCCT